ATCCAGCGCGAAGTATCTGGCGCTGCCCCGCGCAACTGAATCGGGCACCGACGGCCGGTTTTACGGGCGAGACGCGCAGTGCAACTTTTTCCATGTCTTCGAGCAGCGCGTCAGTTGCGCTGCGCTGCGCGACGGGACCCAGTGCCGACATTGCGCGCCAACGCGGGATCCAGTTCCAGCGGCCGCATATCCAAGTGTGACAAGCGACGCCGTGGCCAACGCGTGGGCGAGTGGCGCATCTGAAACCGCCGTGGCACCGCGCAGCACTGGGTCGAGCGCTGCGACTTCGAGCGGCGCGACGGGCCCCGGCCCCGGCGAACTCGCGCTCGTCGAGCAGCGCGACGAGCGCCGCGGCACTGCGCTGCGCGACGAAATCGAGCCTTGCGACTTTGCGCACCAATGTGAGACCCATCACTAGCAACCGCGCGTCTACGAGAGGCGCGAGCAGTGCAGCGAGCATCGCGGCTCTGAGCGCCGCGCCCGGGGCCATCGCGACGCCGCGAAGCGCGACGCAGTCGAGCAATGACGTCGCCCCATGCTTGCGAGAGCGAGGCGACGGGCGGCGGCGCGTCGAGCGCCGCGTCCTTCAGCGGCGCGCCCGCGTCCGACGCATTGGCCCTGAGCAACGCGACGGGGTCGCGTTCCGCGATGGTCAGCGGCGCGACGAGGCCCGGCATCGCCGCGTCTCTCCGCGCCGCGTCTGGCACCAACGCCTCGGCGCTGAGCGGCGCCGAGGGGCGGGGCACCGCAATTTCTAGGTGTGCGCGAGCGTGGCGGACATCGCGAGGAGGGGCATGGCCAGCCCGCCAGTGCTCGCGCGCATGGGCGCTGGCGGCCTCGCACTCGCGACTGCGGCGAGCAGTGCCGCGAGCCGCGCGTCCACCTCGGGGATCCGGGTCAATCCAGGCACGGGTCAGTCAGGCGTTCCAGGGGCCTGCAAACTCCTGCGGGATCCTGCAGGATCCCGCGCGCATGCCTGGTCAGCGCTTCCCTGGCTCTGCAGGGTCCTGCAAAATCTGGCGCCCTGACTGACCCGCACATGCAGTGACCCCCGTCTCTCGAGCCCCGATCGCCGACGGCGCCTGCGCGCCCGGCGCCTGCTGCGCGACGGAGTCGATCACAACCGCGAAGCACGGCGCCGCGGCGTCCAACATCAGCATGCGCGCATCGAGCGGGGCGAGCCGCACATGTATCGGCGGCCGCCTGGGCGGGCGCCTGCTTCTAGCGGCCGCCTGGGCGAGCCCGGCGGCCCCTGCCGTTGCCTTCCCGCGTCCGAGAAGGTGCGCGGCAGGGGCGCTTCTGGAGGCGGGCGGCCACCGGGGTGCCGGGCCGTCTACCGGCAGCACCATGGAAGCGAGCGCTAATGAGCAGCGCGACGAAGGTATCCATCGCCAGCTGCCCTGCATCTTCGAGAGAAGCGAACGCTGCCGCGTGCGCCGCGCCCCCCTGCCGGCGCGTTCGGGGGCGCCGCCGTCATCGCGCGCTGCGCGACAGCGCTGATCGCTCCATGGCATCATGGCAACTCTGGTTGCGCCGCGCCGTGGGGAGGTCGCTCAGGCTCAACCGGGCGGCCGCTGGGAAGGCGCCAGCCGCGCGGTGCCTCCCGCGGAAACCCTGCCAGGGCGACGTGAGGGGGCGCGGGCCCCCGGGGCGCTGCGAGCCTCGGCGCAAACCTCCCGCGGGCGACGTCCGCGACCTCGCGGCCCCAAGCCGCGCTGAGCTGGGCTCCTCGAGGCGGCCCCCCAGGGCTCGACGGCGGATTGGAGGCGGGGCTTGCGCGGCAACCCGCCCTCCCGGGGCGCGACGCGCTCGCGCGCCGCGCCTCGCGCCGCAGCGTTCGCCGCGACGTCCATCCGCCACGACGAAGCGGGAGAGCGCGACGCGCAGCGCCGCGGTCGCGGGCAGCGCGACGGAAGCGGCGCCTCATGGCGGAACCGGCCACGCCGCGCCGCGGAACGGTCTCCAAATCTGGACCAGGTGGCCCGGCGACCCCAGCGACCCTGGCGACCCCGACCCCCGAATTTCGACCAGGGCGAGCGAGGGCGGGCCCCGTGGCGCCGCGACCCCTCCGGCAGGCGACGTTTGCGAGGTTAGAGAATCAGCTCGGGTAGCTGATTTTCCTGACGCCTCCCGGCGCCGTGCGTCGAAGAGTGGGCCCGGCGGCGGGGCCGAAACCGGCTGCGTGCAGCAGATTTCGTAACCCCCCCTTTCCCTATCCCCCACTTTCGTTCGGCCCAGACTAAGCTCCTCGCGGCGGCCCCCTGGGGCTCGACGATGGAGCGGGGGCGGGGCTGGCGCGGCAGCGCGACCCCCCGCGCCGCGCGCGCAGCATCGCGGCGTTCGCCGCGACGAACTGGTGCGCCAGGCTGCGCGGCCGGGGGGCGGGGCGCAGGACAGTGAGACGGAACGCCCGGCGACGGGGCGGCGCGCGGCCCTTCTGCGGGCGCGGGGCCGCTGGGGCCGCGCGCGTGCGCCGGGCCGCTCGCGGTTCGACCGCGCAGATCGTAGCTCGATCAGCCCCTACTGTGCCGCCCGCGCCCTTCCCGCGGGCGAGCAGGCGCGTGGCGGCGACGCCTGCGGAGGCGGCGGCCGCCGGGATTCCGCCCGAGTCGCCGCGCCGCCGCCGGAGAGCCGCGGCAGTGCCAATGCGCGCGCTGCACGCGCGAGGGCGAGTGCGGGGCGGCTCGGCGCGTCGAGCAGTGGGGCTAGTTTGCGAGACGTGCACCGCGGCAGCGGGGGCGCGACGGGGCGGCGGGCAAGTGCCCAAGCGCCGGGCCGACCGCCTCGAAAGCTACGCGGGGGTGCGACCACTCAGAACGTAGCTCGCCCCTCGCCGTCCCTCCATGGCCCCCCCCTTCGCCTAGAGAGACACAGGCGGCTGCTCCTCTGTGGCTCGGCGACCGCCAGGCCCCCGCTCCAGGAACCAACGACCTAGGGGGAAACGCGAGCGGGGTTGGCGACGCGCCGCGGGCCGGGCGCCCGGGATGACCTGTGCCGACGCCAAATCCCGACGGGCGTAACAGCGCAGCCGCGCTCCCAGGACCTGCGGAGCACGCTTCGCCGGGCCGACCGAGTGTGTTCGCAGACCCAGCCTGCCCACCTGCCACTGGGCGAGTATGAGGCGGCTTAAGAACGAATGTAGCTCTCGCCGCGACAGCCCAACCACCCGCCGCCAAACGCGGTTGACACGGCCAGCACTGCCAACCCAAATGAAGGTGACGAGACCGGGGCGAAGGCAGGATGGCCTCACGGCCTCGGGACCATCTACCCAGGTGAAGGTGTCCGGCTGTCGCCGGTGCAAGCCGCCGCGCGGAGTCGCGCCACGCAGCTCCGCGCGGCCGCCAATATTATTTTTTCACCACGACCTAGGGACTGCCTGCACTGCCAGTGTCACGGCAGTGCATTGGACTGCTACCAAAATCGGTCATAATTGTTGTAGCGTCCAAGGGAAAAACCGGATGGCTCCGTCTAGACAGACTACAATGAACACGCACCGCGTGGCCCAGCCTTCATCAGGCCTGATCGCCGCCGATGGGCCTCTCCCCAGGAAGCCCCTGGGCGCGCCTCGATTCGGCTACACGCAAGAGTGACCCTGGGTAAGAGTGACCTTTGTTGCGCCGCTTTTGGGGGGCCGCGGGGAGACAAAACCTGGGCGCGCAAGCCGCTGCTACCGCTTCGTCTTCAGCCATCTGAGGGCCCATCTGTGCCCGCACCAAAGGTCACTCCGGCGAAAGGTCACTCTTACGTCTAGTCGATCGATGATCACTGGTAGCACACCAATGCTAAATACTCCATGTTCTGAGTGTGCTGCGTGACCTGTTGGCACATTTCTCGTAGCCCCAGACTGGGCGCCGCGGGAAATGCCGCAAGATGGCGTCTTTCCTGTCGCGGGCGCCCGATCACGCTTGCCAATGCGTGTGTGAAGCAGGTGGCTGTCTGTCCGCCGGCGCGCAGAACAAAAAGGAATGTCGTCATTCTTCTCCACGTCCCACTTTTGTTCCGCACCCCGGGGGTCTGGAAAGACCATCTGTCCGAAATGGTGCGTTCTATCACTCTCTCTTTCTCTGCCTCTCCCTCCCCCTCTATCCCTGACGTTCTCTGTCTCTCTCTCTCTCTCTCCTTCGCTCTCTTGTTCAGTTTCTCTTTCTCTCTCTCTCTCTGTTCCACTCTCTCGTTAACTCTTCATATTGAACTTATCATGTGTCTCTCACATACATAGCTTATACACATGTGAACATATATATATATATGTGTATGTATATATATATGTATTTATACACACATATATATATGTATATATATATATATATATATATGTACGCACGCACGTACGTACGTATGTATGCGTGTCTATAAAATTACAATCGGCTCCCCTACTTCCTGAATTTATTGATGTGCGCAGTCACGCCCGTCTACATGTGTTTCGACCTCGCTGTCAATCATACTTGCACACGTGTATGAATGCTTGTGTGTATACATGTGTGCTGCTCTCTCTCTATATATGTGTGTATGCTCTCACAAACACAAATTCGCTCTCTGCCTTTCGCGCGCACGCACACACCGTCGCACTCTTTCCCCGCATCCCTTTCCCCCTCTCCCCGTGCCTGTCCCCCGCCCCCCCCCTGCCTGCCTCGCTCCCGTCAGCTTCTCCCTCCCCCCGCCTTCTCCTGCCTCTCGCCCACGTCCCCTCACTTGCCTCTCGCCCCACGTCCCTTCCCTCACCCTTTTCTCTCTCTCTCTCTCTATCTCTCTGCCTCTTCCTGCACATCCCCGCTCTTCTGCGCCATCCTCCTCCTCCTCCTCCTCCTCCTCCTCCTCCTCCTCCTCCTCATCATCATCATCATCATCATCATCCCCACCACAACCATCATCATCGTCATCATCTTCATCGCCGCCACCATCGTCCTGCTCGTTTGATTATTCTTCCTCCCCCTCCTCCCTTCTCCTGCTGTGGCCCGCGTCCCCTGGGCCCCCTCTGGCCTCCTTCCCCCGCCGCGGTCCTCGTGTGCCGCCGCCCTGTCTGCTCCTGCGGTCGCCGAGCTGGGAGGGGAGGGGGAGAGGGGGGCAGGGACACCCGTCGGCAACACACCCTCCCGTCCAGAGCTCCCTCCTCACAGGCGCCTGCACAACAGGCGTTTCCACTGCGGGGGGCGTCCCCCTGCGAGGCGAGCGATCCATGGGCCTCTCGTTCGGGCGAGAGGCGTTTTGGACAGGAACTGCCCTGCACTCATCCAGAGTTTGAGGAAGAGGCAAACAAGAACCCACAGCGAGCCGCTCTGAAATCGTGCAGCTGGTGCACAGATGCTACACTTCTGGCCAGACATGATGAGGAAACTTCACGTAAGCTTTTGAAGGGAATGCTTCTCCGTTTCGAAAGGGAGCCACCCTCCAGTAAGCTTTTCAAGGGAATGCGCGCGGCGCTAATGAAAGTCACGTTTGGATAACATTCAGACCTCTATCCTTTTAGCGGCCGGAAGCTTCCAACGCGACTGCGCGCGGTACTAAGGCGATAATCACCCGACGAAAACGACCCGCCCTCCATCTATGCATCTTTCGAGAATTTCAAACTTCACGACCAGACTGGACGAAAGAAATTCCGAGCGAAACGCCCAGCTCGCGCCACTGACACGTCGGGTGGTGCGACAAAGGGTTGATTCATGAGGAAGGGGGGTGGATGAGGTAAGAGGACGGAATTTTGAGGCTCTGGAACGATTATTGAAGGTTCTAGGGGAATCCAAGAAGGAGCAGGGTGAGATGGAGAGGGGGAGGTGGGGGAGGGCGGAGAAAGGTGGACGATTGGAAGGGCAGCCTTCCACGACGGCCCCCCCCCTCTCAGACTCTGTGCGTGCGGGCGTCGTGCATCGCCTGTTTTTTTGTTTCCGCCGTGCTTCCACCACTGCGCGGCTTTCAACGACTTTGATTTCACCATCGGGTGTCAAAACACAGCGAGCTGTTTTGGCTGTGTCCCAACCTGTCTTTTCACCAGCCGACTGGGATCGTCGGCGCGTCGGAGGAGCAGACAAACGTGTGTGTGTGTGTGTGTGTGTGTGTGTTTTTTGTGTGTGCCCCGCTGCTGCTGGTGCCCACACCCGACGCCGCCCAGCCGCGCGCGCGGCCCTGCTTGGAGCGGGCCCGGCCTACATCTCCCCCCCGCCAGAGCCGGGGTCCTCCTCCTCCCCCCCTCGCGCACCGCGGCCTAATTCGCGTTTGGTTGTCCTACCGACGCCCTATCCGCCAGCGCAGTACTTCTGCCTAGCCGCCGACGTGACAATCTATATATATATATATATACATATATATATATATATGTGTGTGTGTGTGTGTGTGTGTGTTTGCCAGCCGCGCGCGTTCTCGCTCTCCACTCTGCGACCTTCTAACATTCTCGACGCTGCGTGCGAAGCCGCGACGGCCAGACAAGCGTCTGTGTAGTGTATGGGGAGGGGCGCACCAAACATACTAGTACTATATGTCATCCTTGGAGGCGCGCGTCCGACCCGAACATATAATATACCCATCTTGTAGAATGTCGTTTCCCGAGCGGTACGGCCAGAAAGCGCCCGCCACGACGCATGTACTATAAGATTTTTCAGTGCGCGCGTCGCTCTGGGGGGGCGACGCACACATAGTATCAGTATGTTGGCGTGCCGCCGAGGGGAGGGCCAATAGCCAAGCGCCACTGGCATTTTGCCCATCCGTCCCTGCCTACGCTTCCAACCTCCCCTTGCCTTCGCCGTCGTACTGTACTAGTCAGAGGCCTCTCAGATGGGGCCCGCGTAGATGGCGTCGGAGGATCGCGCCAGATCGGCGATGCACTGGCGACGCATCGTCGATGTCGGCGATGCATCTGCGACGTCGACGTGGACAAAATCGGGCTCCACATCGAGCCGCATCAGCGATGCATCTCCGATGCGGCGCGATCCTCCGACCCCATCTGCTCCGACCCCATCTAGGCGGCCTACACCCTGCGAAATGCTTTAGAAATCATGGGTTAAGAAATTCGTAGCCTCAGAATTCAAATAAAAACTTAAAATGTCTACTCAAATCTCAGGATTTGCATTGAAACATTAAGAATCATCGTGACTCTGACCGAAAACCTGGGTTTTCTTAAAAGCATCGCCTGGAGGCCTAGACTGGTCCTCCTCCTCGCCCGAGTGCTTCTGCCCCCTCTGACCCTGCCTGCCCCCTGCCACGGAGGGCGACGAGGGAACGAGGGAGAGGAGGAGGAAGACTAGGCCGAGGGGGACGCAACGACAACCCCAAAGGGTGGACCACGATCTGCGGCTGGGGCGTGTGAGATCGCAGTGGAACGGAGAGCCCCCCACTGGGTCATCGGCTTCTTTTTACTGTTCGTGGCGTGAATGGGCTTCTTTTTTCTGTTCGTGCCGTGCTTGCGGGCCAGGCGAAGCTGCAGTGCCGCGCTGGAGGACCGCCCCCGCCGACGCCAGGGCGATGCGGATACAAGGTGGACCGTTCCTCCGCCCATGGTGGGTGCGCGGTGGCCCAGGGTGTCCCGCAGTGGTGACTCGTTGGTGTCCCGTCGGTGTTTCGTCGGCGGTGGGCGGGCGGTGGCCGGGTGTGTCCCACCTTGGTACCGATAGTCATGTCGATAGTGGCATCGGAAATAAGATCTCTAGAAAAGGGATGGATGAAGAGATCAAAACTGAGATCGACAGTGACATTGCTTGTGACATTGCTAATGAGATCGATCGTGAAGACGATAGCAGATTCCATCGTGATACCGCTAGTCGGGTCGAATGCTGAATCCATTGGTACTAAGACTGGCCGCGAGGTCGAAACTGGAATCGATCGAGTAAGATTGACAGCGCAACAACGTCATCACGCGTCGTCACTAACTCGAGGGCGCGTCACCAGCATCGTCTCCATCACACCCATCGCGTTTTCCAGCTGTTCGTTCTTCCCCCCCACCCACAACCTCCTTCTCACCCGACGGTTGGTCGTATAGGTAGAGCGAAGGGGGGCATGGAGGTCAGATGGGGGGTGCCGAACGGTCACTCAATGTCCCTAGGTGCGTCGCTGAAGAGGGACTCCGCGGCGCGGATTCTGTGTTACGTTGCTGTTGTCGTGGTCCCCCCCGCGACCCGGCCCGCGACCCACCGGCGACCCACCCGAGACACAGCCGCGACCCACCCGCGACCCACACGCGACCCACTCCGTGACCCACCCGCGACCCACCCCGCGACGCAGCCGCGACCCGCCCAGGACCCACCCGCGACCTGGCCCGCGACCTGGCCCGCGACCCACACGCATTGCTTTAACGAAAAAACCGGCGACTGCGGCGGGCTCGTTGTGTAATTTGTGAGAACGAGGCGCCTGCGGCGGACTCCTTTAGAGCCTCGCAGGCTGCCGACGCCCCCCCCCCCGCCGCCCCCTCACTCTTATCCGCAACTGCGGGTGTATCGTAAGCTGCTTCATCTCGCTTCGCGGGGTGCACGTCTGGAGCACGTAAAGACTAGGCATTGGTCGGTTTGCCCTGCTCGTCTGCCGCGCTGTTCTGCCGTGTAGTTCTGCCCGCCCCAACGCCGCGGGGGCCGGATGCGCCCCTCCCGATTCAGCGCCGGGACGAGAAGGTGAATGTCCACGGGGGCAATGAGCATTCACTCGGTGTCAGCACAAGGCAACGCCAGTCAAACTCCGATAAGCATGACAGCAACGCGCCAGTCGTGTATAATTCCGCTGGCTTCTTGGCGATTTCTTGGGACCGTCCGGGGACTTCCTGGAGGCTTCTTGGGGGCCGCTGGGGCCTCTTGGGGCCTCTTGGGGGCCGCTGGAGCCGTCTTGGGGCGCTCTTGCGCCGCCTGGCCCTTTTGGAGGCCGTCTTGGGGGCCTCTTGAACTATATCGGGGGCCTCTTTGGGCCATCTTGGGGTCCTCTTGGGCCGTCTTGGGGGCCTCTAGGGCCGTCTTGGAGGCTGCTTGGGCCGTTATCGGCCCTTGGGAGTAGACTAAGGCGAGAACGTGAAAATCATTGAAAACCATTGGACACATCTATTTTATATGCTTCTGGAGGTGCTCTTAGGAGCCCCCTTGGGGCCCTCTGGGACCGTCTTGGGGGCATCTTGGGCCCTCTCGGGGCCATCTTGGGCCGTCTTGGGGCCGTCTTGGGCCGTCTGGAGGCCATGTTGAGCCGTCTTGAGGCCTCTGGGACCGTCAAGAGGCCCACGAGGTCAAAATCGATGTTCTTTGAGTTTGGTTCGGTTCTTGAGCACTAGGAATGGGGGGGCACGTTTGGTCGAAGTATGTGGCGTAGCGCTTGGGTGGGGGATAAAAGAGGGGGGTAGATGATGCTGTGAAGCAGCACAATATGTAGCAATCATACAATGACATGGTCGCGGAAATGACACAACACGTAACAATGATGCAATCATTGGATGTGCGGGATACGCTGCATTAGGACTCCCGCTCCGCTCCACGACCTGCCTCTGGCAACGCGTCACTTCCGGATGTGGATCAGGTGCGCTCGCGCCACATCCCAAACCCCTCACGTCTACCCCGCCCCATGGCGTACATTAGAGGAGGGGCGGAAGAGCAGGATGAAGAGGAAGAGGAGGAGGAGGAGGAGAAGGAGGATGAGGAGGACGAGGAGGAGGAGGAGCAGAATGAGGAGAAGGAGGAGGAGGAGGAGGAGGAGAAGAGGAAGAGGAGGAGGAGGAGGAGGACGAGGAAGAGGAAGCAGGAGGGGCAACGGGAGCAGGAGGAGCAGGAGGGCCCGGGAAGGCGGAGGAGGGGGGGGGGGAGGGGGACAGGAAACGACGCGGATGGACGACCCAGACGCGTGCCGAGCAGGCCGCAGACGGGGAGGGAGGGAGGGAGGACAGTCTGGGGCGAGAGAAAGAGATGGTAAGGTGGAGGAGGGGAAAGGAGGGGAACAGGGAACGACGAGGACGGATGACCCGACACGTGCCTAGCAAGCCGCAGACGGGGAGGGAGGGAGGGAGGACAGCCTGGGGTGAGAGTAAGAGGCAGATGGCCCTACAGTCAAGACTGATGGTGCCCATCGGTCGGAAGCAGGTCGAACCATGAAGTAGGGCGGTGGAAGTAGATTGGCTTCTGCCCGGCCTCCAGTAGAGGAGGGAAGAGGGAGAGCCACTCGACTCTTGAAGTAGGAAGGCGGCTAAAGCAGATTGGATTATGGGGCTCCAAACATACCTACTTTCAACGACCGATGGGTAAGGGTGCACGAGAAGAATGCAGGCCCCTTGTGCTCCCATGTCGGGCCTTCTCGATCGGGGCTGGCCACCGCAAGTTCTCAAGGATGGACTGAAAGTAGCTTTGGGTGGGAAGGCTACTTACGTGCCCGCATGCCCGACTTCGACTGCACCTCGCTTCGAACCACCCTCGCTGTCAAACGGGGGCCCGAAGCTTCCCAACTGCCCGTGGGGCGGCCCGCAGCGGCCAGCCTGCCTGACGGGCAGGCGCGTGGCGTGACCTGGCTCTGCCTGGAGGCGACAGCGGGGGCACAGGACACCTCTCGAGGGACAAACCACGACACAAACAACAAACCGTCGGAGGTCCGCACGGGTTCCCTTGATCGGCGGCAGACCCTCCTCCCCGGCGCGCGGAGCGCGCCAGGGGGCGGCGATGGCGGTGCCGCCAGGGGGCTCCAGCGCCGATCCGAAAAAACCGCGCGGGCCTCCGACACATGATGTGTATGTGTTCCCCGGTCTCTCCCCAGGATGCTCGAGTCTATCCTCGATCTCTCCCCCCACGTTCCCAATCGTCCAGAAGCTCATGTTTCTGACACGGATTGTCCCTCGGCAGTCGCCCTCCGAGGAAAGAGGAGGGCGAGGCACGAGGCGCCGAGCGGGGGCGCTGCCCTGGGCATCTGCAGGGTGATGATGATGATGATGCTGATGCTGATGCTGATGATGATGCTGATGATGTTGATGATGATGCTGCTGCTGATGATGATGATGATGGTGGTGGTGGTGATGGTGATGAGGATGATGAGGAGGAGGAGAAGGATGAGGAGGAGGAGGAGGAGGAGAAGGAGAAGGACGAGGAGTTCTAGGAGGAGGAGAAGCAGAAGGAGCTGTAGGGGGAGGATGGGGGAGGAGGAGGACGAGGAGGAGGAGGCGGAGGAGGAGGAGGGGAAGGAGAAGGAGGAGGAGAAGGAGGAGGAGAAGTTCTAGGAGGACGGGGGGTGGAGCAGAAGGAGTTCCAGGAGGAGGAGGAGGATTTCGAGGAGGAGTTCTAGGAGGATGAGGAGCAGGATTTCGAGGAGGAGTTCTAGGAGGATGAGGAGCATGAGTTCTAGGAGGGGAGCTAGGGAGAGGAGGAGGAGGAGGAGGAGGGGGAGGAGGAGGAGGAGGAGGGGGAGGAGGAGGAGGAGGAGGAGGAGGAGGAGGAGGATCCAGGAGAATTCGGGGACGACGATGTCGACACACGCCTTCGGGGACGCATGCCATCTCTGGGAGACCAGAAGCAATTGGGGCCCCTCGTGTGGACAAACTTGCCTTGGATAAGCAATACATCACGTACTTTCTGCCGTTTTTTTTCGTTGGGGCACTGCCCTCATCGAACAGCCCCTTCACATTCCCCCCGTCGAACGCTTTGGCACGACACCCACATGTTGTACACCACCATGTCGAGTAAACTTCGGCACGCCTCATGGTGTGGGAGTGGTGAACTGATCGGGTGCCAATTTGGACTCCACACGGCACCCCTCTGACAGCCTCCGCGACAGGGCTATGCGATTTACACTGCTTAAGCCAACGTTGATGACTGAAGCCGCAGCTCGCTTGCAACCTAACTCTTTAAGTATACTACACAGCCACCGCCACCTACTCTTGGAGGGCAGGAGCGCGTGAGTGGAGGAGGCCAAGGCCAGGCTCATGTCACGCTGCCTGCTTCCTTTTCTGCTTGGCAGTTCTGCGGTCCGTGATCTGGATGGACAGGTCCTTGGCGCAGGCCTCCACCTGCTCACGTATGAGACGACGCCATACCAGCATGACCGTGGCTCTGACCCATTCGTACAACTGCATCTGCTGTTCGGGGATCTCGTGGTATGAGGCGGCCTTCTCGGCTAAGACATCTGCTAGGGAGTTCCCTGGGGAGGAGGAGGAGGAGGAAGAGGGAGAGGGGTTCTAGGAGGAGAGGAGGTCGAGGAAGAGCAGGGGGAGGCGGAGGCGGAGGAGGAGGCGGATGTGGAGGAGCAGGAGGAGCAGGAGGAGGACAGGGAGGAGGCGAGGGAGGAGGGCGAGGCGCGCGGCGCCGAGCTGGGGCGCTCCCCGGGGCATCTGCACCAGGCCCGCCGCCGCCATCGCGCTCAGCTGGCTCTCCGCCTCCCCCGCGCCGCCGCGCTCCCCGCCAGCGGCGGGGAAGCCTGCGGCCCCGCGCGAGGGCGGGAGGCTCCCGCTGTGCGCCCCGCATGCCTCCTCCCTGCTTCTCCCTCCTCCTGCGTTGGAGTATTGTGGGCAATGCTTCCTCCTCCTCCTCCTCCTCCTCCTCCTCCTCCTCCCCTCCCCCCCCCCCCTTCTCCCTCCTCCTCGTCCTCGTCCTCCTCCTCCTCGTCGTCCTCCTCCTCCTCCTCCTCCTCCTCCTCCTCCTCCTCCCCTCCCCCTCCTCGTCCTCCTCCTCCTCCTCCTCTTCCTCCTCCTCCTCCTTCCTCCCTCTCACCCCTCTGCCCCCCCTCCTCCCTCTTACCCCCCCTCCCCCCTTCCCCCTTGCCTCAGGAGGAGGAGGAGGAGGAGGAGGAGGAGGAGGAGGTGGAGGAGGACTTCAGCGAACGCCTGATCTCCTCCGCTCGCTGGCCGCCAGGCCTTTGCGATGTGCAGGGAAATTGCAGCACACGGTTCAACATCTGATTCCACACCTTCCTAAGTGGGAGAAACAGCATGGGCAAGGATGCCATGGATATGTGAGTCAGAGAATCGAGCCCCCTACCCGACTCGGTAGCGATTGGAGGGGACATCACACATGTGGTCAGCGCCCTGTTCAATGCGGGGCCTGGGAAAACAAGCTGAAGGGGCAGGTGGCGAGAAGCGGGAGTTTGGAGTTCCGAAGCGGTGCGGTGACGAACCGTGCGGTGACCTCGAAATTCCCCAAGACCTCACCGCACGGCCCGTCACCTCACGGTCCTGGGACCCCGGAGGCCCCCGCCGCCCGAGGCGTCCTCGGAGAACGACCCGAGGCCCAAGACCGTGCGGTGACCCCGAAGCCCCACCGACTCACCGCACGGTGTGGCCACCACCCCGGCTGGGGGCTCCCGGGGGAGGCGGGGGCTCCTGCGCTCGGACCTCTGGGGCCCAGCCTTCCCTCACGACGCGGGCCCCCGGGAGCTCCTGGCCCCACTCCCCCGGGGCCGACAATCTCGTTTTCGGGTCGTCCTTCGGCGGCGCGCAGGAGGGGGTATGGGGGAGGGGGGACGGCTTCTTGGAAGGAGGCTGCTTCTCAGACGGCGCCGGCCTTACATCTGCAGACCAGGCCCGCGCCTTCTAAAAAGCAGGGGCGCTTCTAAGAAGCCTTCCCCCCTCCCCCTCCTCCTCCTCCTCCCTCCTCCTCCTCCTCCTCCTCCTCCTCCCTCCTCCTCCTCGTCCTCCTCCTCCTCGTCCTCCCCTCCTCCCCTCCTCCTCCTCCTCCTCCTCCTCCTCCTCCTCCTCCTCCTCCCCCTCCTCCTCCTCCTCCTCCTCCCTACCCGCCTCTGCGCGCGACTGAGTTCTCCAGGGGCCCCGCGGCCCGAGGCGGGCGCCCACAGGCGAGGGCAGGACAATGGCAGGACAGTGGCAAGCCAACGGCAGAAACGTGGCCCCTGTAGACCACAGGTGGCGGACACAGGACGCTTCGGACGATTGAGGACATGGGGGGGGGGGATCGAAGAACCACTGGGGGATAGATCGGGGAAGAAACAACGCCACAAACACAACACACATTGTTTCGGAGGTCCGCGCGGATTTCTCGGATCGGTGCTGGAGCTCCCTGGCGGCGCTTCCGGCGCCGCCCCTTGTGCGTGCCGCGCTCCGGGGAGTGGGGTCCAGCTCCGATCCAAATCAATCCTTGAGAACCTCCGAAAATGGATGTTTATGCAGGTACTTCTTGTTAGGCACAAGCTCTGCTGCCTCTGCTCCTACCCCAAAGGACCCTGGGCGCATCCCGCGGCGGCGGCGGCCCCTGGCGCCGCGGCGGGGACCTGCGAAGAGGACCAGCGAGGCGAAGATTCGATTGGGGAAGAGCGGGAGGAGGAGCGGGAGGAAGAGGAGGACCACGAGGAAGGCGAAGCAGAGTGAAAAGGAGGAAGGGATGAGGATAGGGACGGGGACGTAGAGGAGGAGGAAGATGACCAGGAGTGGGATGAGGAGACGGAGGATGATAATGAAATGGTGTAACGAAGTGGACGGGAAGGATGAGGTGGCGAATTCTGGGGGAAAAACAGGATGGGAAGGAGGAAACAAGCCAGCAAGCACGATAGCAATGCGTCCTGAGGAATATGTGGGCAGGCTGGCAATGTCACTCGTGGTTATTGTCATGCCTTGCCGCGGCTAACTTATCGCCAACAGCGTCCTTACCTTACTGCAAAGGGAGGCCGAAAGGGAGGGATATGGCTACTAGGCAAGACGAAGCACGCTGGACCATTCTATGTACTTCAATTGTCCAGTGCTGCAAAGGAAGGCCAAATCGTCTGTTGGCCGCTCAACTTCGCGGGACGCAAGCCGGATTGCAAAACACCTTCCTGACTAAAGAACCGGTGGTGCTGCGCGCAACTTTACAATGTAAGGCGAACGGCCGCGAAACAAAAATGTCGGAAAGCAATTTCGCTGACGCCCTGCGTAGAAATGCATCGTTGCTGACCCGTGAAACGCATGAACACAAGAGAGACGTGACACTCGTAAGTCGGGAAAAGGGAGAGGGAGAAAACAACGTTTGAGGATGACGAAACAATTCCCATGTGCGTTTTCCGCCAAATGATCGGATGAAAACGAGGAGGCGTGCGTGTGCCCTCGTGTGCCCCCCTGAGTTGCCGACCCATCCCAAGGCACTTCGTGCTACCAACCATTGGTGGCATCTATCCCATCCCCAAGGTATCTCTTGCATCCCCAAGGCATCGTGGCGCTGGCTCCTCGTTTAAAAAAAGCCCCGCGTCTCCTTCCTTTCATCCTGCCCCTCCTCCCTCCTCCCATCTTCTGGAGCTCCCTACGGGGCCACGAAGAGCTGAACTGGGCGGCCTGGGCGCATTCGGCCGCGGCCACTGGAGCCTTCGGTGGAACTCCTCATGGGGGCACGAAACAGGGTGTGCCGACATGGTAGACATGCGGAGGGCAGAGGCCCCATATGGAGCTCCAGTGGAGGCCCCAGAAGCCTCGTTGGCATGCGCCCGCGCCGCCCAGTACAGCGCTTCGCGGCCTTTTATAGATCTCCACCGACGGCCCCATATGCGACGTTGGTATGCGCCCGCGCCACCCAGTACAGCTCTTCATTGCCCCATAGTGGAGCTCCACCGAAAGCCCCAGAGGCGACGTTGGCATGCGCCCGCGCCGCCCAGTACAGCGCTTCGTGGTCCCATAATCGACCTCCACCGAAGGTCCCACAGGCGACGTTCGCATGCGCCCACGCCGCCCAATACAACGGTTTGTTGGCCCACACGGAGATCCACCCAATGGCCTCGGGGCGACGTTCGCCTGCGTCTCCCCCGCCCTGTACAGAGCTCAGCGCTTTGTGGCCTCCCCCGCCCAGTCCAGCACTTCGAGGCCCCCGACGGACCTCCACCGAAAGCCTCAGGGGCCGCAGCTGTATGCGCCCCCCCCGCCCAGAACAGCTCTTCGTGGCCCCGTAGAGAGCTCCACCGACGGCCGAAATGGCCGCGGCCGTATGCGTTCCCCACCCACCCAGTACAGCGCTTCGTGGAACCCTAGGGAGTTCCCTCCACCAAAGGTTCCAATGACCGCGGCCGCATGCGTCCCCCTCCGCCCAGTACAGCGCTTCGTGGCACCCTGGGGAGCTCCGCCGAAGGCCCCAGTGGCCGCGGCCGCATGCGCCCCTCCCCTCCGCTGCACATTACAGCGCTTCGTGGCGCCCTAGACAGCTCCACCCAAGGCCCCAGTGACCGCGGCCGCATGCGTGTCCCCCCGCCCAGTAAAGCGTTTCGTGGCTCCATGGCGAGCTCCACCGCGGCCGCATGCGCCCGGCCCCCCGCCCCTGCCCCCACCCCCCCCGCTCAGTACAGCGCTTCGGAGCCCCATCGGGAACTGTACCGGAGACCCCAGTGACCGCGGCCACATGAGTCTCCCCCACCCATTACGCCCCATGCGGAGCTCCACCGACAACGGAACCCACAATGCGGCAATCACGACTGCATGCGGTTGGGCTTTTGCGCACGGGTAGTATGCGTTTTGCCGCGGGCATATTTTCGTGGCCGGGGGGCCCGAAACGGGCCTCCATGTGGCCAGACTCGAAGAATCGGTGGTCTCGAACTTTCGCTCGCGCCCCCGAAAGAGGACGGAAAAGGTTAAGCCACTGGATCCTTGAAGTAGAGGAAGACTCCAAAAACAACTATTCTGAGATCTGAGATCCCCAAAAATACCACGACCCGCGTGCAGGCCCGCTCGCCACCCCTCAGTGAAAACCCGAGCCTTCCGCCCCAAGAGGCCCCAGGGAGGCCCCGAACGGCGCCCAAGGGGCCCCCCAGAGGCCCAGGAGAGCCCCAAGGGGCCCCAACCGGCCCCCGGGAGGCCTCCAGTCTGCCTCCAGCGAGGCTCCCGAGAGGCCTCCCACGAGATCCCAACACCATCCAGTACAGTCGTGGCGTTGACCTAAGGAACCCGAAATAAGGAACGAGACCCCCGTTTTCCATAGGTTAAACTTCGATGTCCTATCGAAAACCTAAGGAAAACCTAAGGCAAGCTGCGAAACAATTAAGGAACACGGAACCCCTCCCCAACGACAAGGGTTCCTTCTTCAGGGCCCCGACTGTAGGCCCCATACCCACGACCCAGGCATTGTGGCGGGATGGACCGAAGGCCATTCGATGATTACGTTCGTGTTCTCTCGAATGTGCCCAAACCCGAAGAATCGGTTGTCTCGAGCTTTCGCTCGGGGTCTCTGCAGGAATGAATTAGTCCTGCTCGCCCCTCCTCTGTTCGGCGGCGAGCCCGGCGAGAAATGAGAAGTGGCGGGCCTTCTCAGAGGCTCGGAAGTCCCCAGGCCTTCCCAAAAAACATCCTACGCTTAGGTCGTGCATGTCCCCCTACAGGTGTATTTGGACGAGAAATACAAGATACCCAAACATACTGGCCAACCATAATAAAAGACATCTCCCCCGACTATTTGTTTTGACTCTTTCTGAATACTCGTCCTGTAGAGGGCCAGGCCCGACTTGATCGTAAGCCTTCCCCGAAAGCACACGGAAACCTTCTCAAAGGCTCGAGGGCTTCCGAGACGCCTGTCCTTGAGGGCGCTGCGGCCAAGCTTTCGGAGAGGCTCCAGGCGCGAGAGCGAGGGGCCCAGCGACTGCTCAGAAGGGGGAGGGAGGAGGGCCTCCTCGTCGTCGTACTCCTCACGGTTGTTGAGGACCCAAGCGGGCGCCAAGAGGCACACACCATTGATTTCCCCCACGATTCTGGTTGAATGATTCTGAAGTTCTCGCCTCTTTCGGCTTTCCGACGCTCCCAGACGGCTCAAGAGGCCTCGAGATCGCCCCATGACGGCCCACAAGATGCCTCCAAGCGGGCCCCAACAGGGCCTCAGAGGGGCCCCAAGGCGGCCCACGAGGCCTCTGAGACGGCCCAAACGATGATAGTGGGGGCGAGGGTGATGGGCGATGGTTGCTTCGTCACCGGTGCGACATGGGCGACTTCGGAAACCATGGACCCAAAACAGTTTACATCTCTTGTCGGGTCGGGCGAAAAGGGGGGATAGCAAAGGGGGGGTTTGAGAATCAGCTCACGTAGCTGATTTTCCTGGCGCCTCCCGGCGCCGGAGGCGGCCATGTATCGTGGAATGGGCCCCTCGCTGAGGCCGAAACCAGCTGCATGCCGCAAATCTCGTGACCCCCCTTTCCCAATCCCCCCCTTTCGTCCAACCCGATCTCGGGAACACATCCGTCACTTCCGCCGCCTCCCGCCGAGCTTCCGCCGGCTACCGCGGGCGGAGGCGGCCTCGTGTTCTTCCGCCGCCCTCCCGCCGCCCTCCCGCGGCGGAAGGGATGACACCTCCTTCGACGCCCGAAGGCAAGGCCACTCTTGGACCGCCCCGTAGGTGGCACGGCCGCAGACCACTGCGTCACGAGCCCTCTGAAAACGCTACCCATCGGCCGGAAGGAGCAGGCAGAACCATGCAGTGGGAAGGCGCTGGAAGGAGAGTGGGTCTCCGCCCGCCCCCTGAAGAGGAGGGGAGAGGGGAAGCCACTCGATCATTGCAGCAGGAAGGCGCCCAAAGTTGAACGGAATCTGGGACTCCAAAGACACCTGCCTCCAACGACCGATGGACACGACCAACCTCAGGGAAACAAAAAGTGACATAAACATAAAAACTCGGAGGTCCGCGCGGATTTCTCGGATCGGCGCTGGACCCCCCTCTCTGGCGCGCGGAGCGCGCCAGGGAGGGGGGTCCAGCGCCGGAGGGCGGCGCCGGAGGCGCCGCCGGGGGGCCCCAGCGCCGATCCGAGAAATCCGCGCGGACGCCACGTTTTCATCCCCTAGACCTGGACCGAGAATGCTGCCGCCGTGAGGCCAGGACCCGGGAACGCCACGCACGTCAGAGAAGCGGAGAGGCGTTTTTCTTTCTGGCCACGGCGCGCCGCGGCCACAAGCAGCTCCCCCGACCCCGACGCCAGGAACGGCCAGACAGCCAGAGAGCCCTCCCACTTCGGCCCCAGGTGCGTGGTTCACCAAGCATGGACCCCTGGATCTTTGGGAGGGGTCCTGCGCTGGGAGGGCCAGAGAACACCAGGGATAGGGGGGTCCTGTTCTGCAGATGTGCCGAACCAGACCGCCCAGAATCAGGACCCCTGATGCGAAGACGGGGACCGCGGTGAGGCCACGTCTTCGTCGTGCTATTCGGGTTAGGGGCTATGCTCTCAGTGCAAGTGGCCCCTGCTTCAGCGCCTTGACTGCAGGTCACGCCGCCTCGGGGGGCTCCCCGTGAGCGATGGCGGGCTCGCGTCCACGAGCGCCCGCGCACGGAGGCGGGAATGGC